ACCACTAGAGAAAGGCTGTGTGCTGTCAGCCAGGAGGCAGACTTCCAGAGTGTGCCCTTTGGTTGGTTGTTTAAATGATTATATATTCTTGAGTGTTTTTGTGTATATCCCTCCTCCAAAAAAAAAATCACAGGGAATGGAAGCAAATACTGTTGAATGGTGGTGTACAGAGGAGATTATAATCATTGCAGTGAAACAATGAATGTAAAACCGTTGTTCTCCCATGTAAATAAACTGTCACTCAATTCACAATGAAAACTTTAGAAAACACAAAAATGATGTTCTACCATATAAACTCTGGTAGCGTAGTGGTTACAAATTGGGCTGCAAACCTTAAGGTCAGCGGTTCGAAACTACCAGCCGCTCCACAGGAGAAAGATGAGGCTTTCTACTCCTGTAAAGATTTACACCCTCGGAAACCCTGTACAGGGTCGCTATGGGTCAGAACTGACTCGACAGCACTTAACAACAACCATATAAACTATCACTCAGTTCACAATAAAAACTTAAAAAAAAAAGTAGCATATGATGATCATGAACCAATGGTATTGAAGGAAGAGGTCTAGTTTGTACTGATGACATTGCCTAAAAACAAAGCTCTAGGAATTAGTGGAATACAAATTTGAAGTGTTTCACCAAAGTGATGGCAGTGGTTGGAGTCACTCATTAATCTATGGCTAGGTATTTGCCAACTTATTGGAAGCTATCCATATTTGTGCTAGTTTCATAAAAGGGTGAACCAGCGGAATACCAAAGTCATGGAACAATATCATTAATATGTGTAAGTACAGTTTTACTGAAGGTGATTCAAAAACAGTTGCAGCAGTATATCGGCTGCTAAAAAATCATGCCAGCTTAGAACTGGATGTGAGATACCATTGCTGGCGTCAAATGGATCATGGCTGAAAGCAGAGAATACCAGAACAATTTTACTGTGCTTTATAGACTATGCAAAAGCCTTCAACTTTGTGTATCGTAGCAAACTATGAATAACATTGCAAAGATTGAGAATTCCAGTACATGCAATTTTACTTATGAGGGTCATAGCACACATACATAGACCAAGAGGCAGTTGTTAGAACAGAACAAAGGGATACTGAATGGTTTTAAATCAGGAAAAAAAGTGTGTGCCAGGAATGTGTCCTTTTACCAGATTTATCCAATCTGTGCTGAGCAAACAATTTGACATCCTGGATTATATGAAGAAGAAAATGGCATCAGGATTGAAGGGAGACTCATTAACAACTGCTATGCAGCTAACACAACCTTGCTGCTTGGTGAAAAGAGGACTGAAAATACTAAATGAAGATTAAATACAGCCTCTAATATGGATTTTATATCTCATTGTAAAGAAAATTAAATTCCTCACAATTGTACCAGTAAATAACATCATGATAAACAGAAAAAAGATCGAAGTTGTCATAGATTTCATTTTGTTTAAATCCAGTGGAAACAGTAGTCAAGAAATCAGGTGACATAAAAGTGTTAGAAAGATGTCACTCTGAGGGCTAAGGTGCAACTTACACAGGTCATCATGTTTTTAATGGTCTCATATGCTTGTGAAAGTTGGGCAATGAATAAAGAAGACCATAGAAGAATCGATGCATTTGGATTATGATGTTGGTGAGGAATAATGAAATTATCATGACTGCCAGAAAACAAACAAATCTGTGTTAGAAGTACAGCCAGAATGCTTCTTAGAAGTGAGGATGGCGGGACTTTGTCTCATGTACTTTGGGCTTGTCAAGAAAGACCAATCCCTGGAGAAAGGACTTCATGCATGATAAATTGGAGGGTTAGTAAAAAAAAGAAAACCCTCAACAAGATGGATTGAAACAGTGGCAGCAACAATGGGCTCAAGCATAGCAATTGTGAGGGTGGCCCAGGACTGTGCTGTGTTTTGATCTGTTGTACATAGGATTCCTATGGAATCAATTGGATGGTACTCAACAATAGCAACAGCATCCTTTATCTTATGAAAATTCTTGGCTGAACTTCAGACACATGGCCAATTGTTTTGACTTCTTAGATATTATTTTCTTTGAACTCTTTCAAGCATTACATTGTCATTTCAACTTTGCAAAAATAAAATAGCATCATCTTCCACAAACCTCTTTTTCCTACACCTCCTTTCATTGTGTTTCAAGCTAGAAACCTTCCATATCCTTCTCATTATAAAATCCTGTGCTCTTATATATGATAGGGCTTCAAAACACTTTGTAAAAATACTTCATTATCTTGTTATTTCATTTTTTCCATTTTGATTCCCCCTCATGTAAGCTTTCTAATGTAAGCCACTGATTTAGTTCAAGACTTTCCCCCTACCCCCGGTAACTAGTAGCCTCCTCACTGCATTTCCTTTCATTCCAGTGCCTCCTCACTCTAATTAGAGGTAGAACAGATCTGTTTATTCCACTTCGCCAAATTGCGCTTTGTAAATGTGTGCCCACTCCTGGCCTCTATTAAAAATATATTTCAGTGCTAAAGCCTTTAGTGAGAAAGGTGAAGCACTCTAGGTCTTAACAGTTGCAGTAGACTAAAAGTAGAGCCACCATGTGATGAGTTAAATGGTGGTGGAAACATGTGTACCTCTCTAGCTCTATCCAGTGTGGTAGTTAGAGAACTTGCACAAATTGTTTAGAGTGAAATTCAGAATACATCTTTGGAAACTCAAGGATTTTCCCCCATACTGATTTTACATTGAATCTAATTAATAGGTGTTACTTAAAAACTTCTAAAGTAAATGTTTTGGTGTATCCTGATTCGAGATAGAATTTTATCATTTGGTCACTTAATAGCTCTAAGAGTTTTCCTGCCTTGTTTTCTCATGAGAAATATACTACAGTATATTATATATATATACTACAATATATTAATGTACTTAATATGTATATCATGCTATGGCCCACACACTAATGAGTGTGTGACAATTATGCTCAAAAGAAGAAGTGTTGTAGTCTGCATTTTTTAGGAATAACATTTCAATTTTTTTCAGTTTTTATTATAAATTACAAATTTTTATAATTTACTGCATTGTTGTAGCTTCTAGTTGCTCTGTTAGGCTCACAGGATTCAGTTTTCAAGGTATAGTAAGGATCTTTTCATCTTTATCTCTGTGCCTAAAGGAGTACCTGTCACACAGTAGGCGCTCCAGAAATGTTGCTTGAAGTGTTATATAATCTAGTGTACACAGTAATGTAGCATATTTGTGAACTACTTCTCTTTTAATATTTTATTATGGAAAATTTTAAACATGCACAAAAGTAAAAAGAATAATACAATGAACCTATATGTATGCATAAGAAGCTCTGGTAGCATAGTGGTTATGAGTTGGAATGCTAACCTCAAGGTGAGCAGTTTGAAACGGCCAGCTGTTCCACAGGAGGAAGATGAGGCTTTCTGCTCCCATAAAGATTTACAGCCTCGGAAACCCTATACAGGGTCTCTATGAGTCGGAACTGACTGCACGGCACACCATCACCACCACCACCACACCATATGTACCCATAATTCAACTTCAGAAATTATCAGCATGCTGTCATTGTTTTATCATCTATTCCTCCACTGTTTTTAGTTGGGTTTTTTTTGGATATTTTCAATCAAATATCTTTGCTTTTTTGCCCATGATTTTCTATTATGTCTTTCTAGCTGTTATACCTGAATTTCAGGACTGCATGCTGCCCAGAATTAATTCGTTACCGGTTCTCATTCTAATTAAGAATATCGAGAAAAGTATAGTGTAACTGTGCACACATAATGCTCACACCTAAACGGGTACACTCATCTCCTTTTGAGAATAGAATGTCTTTATTCTGATACTGTCCATAGTGCCTTTTTTCATATTAGAATGTTATATTATTAACATTGAATAACATTTCACTTTGTAATTAAAACCTATTAACCTTATATGATTCCCTCGCCCTGCCCTTAATAAAGAAAAACATTTATTTTCGTAGTTTGTGAACTTCCAGTGTTAAAATAATATGTGACATGTATGATTCTTTTGCTTTTTTTTGCAAAGTATTTTATATCTGTTTTACTTTGAAACTTTCTCACTGCACATCAGCTCTCAAATGACTTTAAGAGCAGATAACTAGAATATAACGATGATATTGTTGTTGTTGTTAAGTGCCGTCGAGTCGGTTCCGACCCATAGCGACCCTGTACAGGGTTTCCGAGGGTGTAAATCCTTACGGGAGTAGAAAGCCTCATCTTTCTCCCGCGGAGCGGCTGGTAGTTTCGAACCGCTGACCTTAAGGTTCGCAGCCCGATTCGTAACCACTACGCTACCAGAGCTCCTTAACGATGATATAGGACTCTTCATTTTTTGTTCATTCAGTAAATATTTAATGAGCACTTATTTTGTACCATGAATAGTACTTCTTAATAAGATTGCTCATTCAAATAAAATCTATTTTTTGTCCTTCAAGAGCTTCAGACATGAAAATTTCAGTAGATAAACCTATGTTTTTACTTTATTATATTGTTACAGAGTAGGGTGCTGAAGAAGCAAAAGAATCATACAAAACACCCAGACTCAGCTCCTGTAAACTCAGAGCCCCAGGTCTTGTATGTGGTACCACTGAACAGAAGAGCAGTGACTTGAACAGCAATGAACTTATTTTCAGCTAGCGTTCTAAAGGCAAACAAACATTGATAAATAATAAAGGTGAATTTTGAGGAGATAAAATATTAGCAGTGGATTAAAATAGCTATTCACATTGGGTCCTTTAAGGGTTTGTTTTGTTTTGTTTTAATTTCCTTTTGTTTTTCCTTTTGGACTCTTATTCTTCAGTTGCTTACATGGTTTTTCCATAAAATATTTTTCACAAGTGATTTGTTTGAAATTCAGAATTGCTCTGTTTTCCTATTATGTTTTGGATAAGGAAGAAGTATGCATTACTTAGCCACCTTTTACGTTTCTACATTTTCTCAATATGATGAAAAAAAGAATTCATTTCAAAATACAAATTTACAGAAAATATTGTACCCCACCTTAGACAGCAGCCCTCAGAGCAGTTGGCAACATAGTGACCGGCACTGATGAGCAGACCCAGGTGGTTCTCAACTGTGATGTCCTGTCACACTTCCCGAATCTCTTATCACACCCCAAAGAGAAGATTAATAAGGTAAGGCATACAATGTCCTCATTCTTTGTTTCTTTTTAGATCTCATTTAACTGCCCCCTGGTTTCACTGTGGCTTTTCTTCAAAACCAGTGCAGAAGAGATGAAAAGTACTTCAAATCATCACTGCAGTTGTTTTGAGTGTTTCAGGGGTTTTCCCCAATTTATAATTGCCTTGATCATCACAGAACAAAAAAATATGTTTAGATTCCTTAAAAAATTTTACATTGAGTACTAGCAACAATCAGTAAGTTATAGGCACTAAGTCGAGAAGCATACAAAATTCACCACTTTAATAACTAGCATCCTTTATAAACAAATAGAGGTCATGAGCTAATCTCCCTATAAAATTAAAGATGGAACACCTAAATCAGAGGATTATAAAAAATTGTTCTTTTTTGAGATTTCAAATTGAAATACAGAATTATTAATTGTATAATATATGCATAAGTAATTAGCCCCCTCAGAGAAAACAGCACATGCATACATATAGAGTGATAGCTTTTCAGATAGAAGACACCTACGCATTTTCCCCCAAGGAGGGAAAAATGAGTTATGTTAAGTCAAAAAAATATTGCTATAGAATCAGAAACTTTTGTTAAACAAAAATATCAAAATATGAAACTTTCTCTACGTAGTCTCCATCTAAGTCTGTATACTTTCTTTTTTAAACTTTTTGTTGTGAGTTGCGTGAAGGTTTACAGACCAGCTCATCAGTTGTACATTCAACAGATCATACACTTGGTTTCATCTCAATGATTGCAAACCCCTCCATGCAGCAACAGTTATCCCACTTCCTTCCTGTGGTTCCTATTCCACTCCACCCTTCTCAACTGTGTCCTTAGGTAAATATTGCCCTTTTGATTATGAATGGTTGACCATTTCATGATGAGCGTACCTTACTAATGCTGTTGCCCACCAGTATACCTACTGCTTGACTGAAAACTGGGCCATGAGGGTGAGTTTCTTTGTAGACTTGAGGGTGATCAAGGGCTATAGTAACATAGACCTCCAGTCCCGCACTGACAAAGAAACCTAGTCTTTTTTTTTTTTTTTTTTTCTTTTTTCCAATTTTTGAGTTTTGCTCTATGTTTTCTCCTAGTCTATCTGGGACCTTCTAATATGACCCCTTTTAGAGCAATTGGTAATGGTAGCCCAGTACCTTGTAGTTCTTTTGGCCTCTGAGTCGTGGAGACTGATGTTTACGTGTTACATTAGTCCATTCGACTAATTGATTCCAAGCATCATCATTTTCTCAGCACTTTTCTTTCCTCCTCACATGTAGAAACAAATAGTTACACGTTAGATTGCCACTCACCATCACAGAACAAAAAATTATGCTTAGAATTTTTTTAATATATTTAAATAGATTGAGTGATACCAAGAACCAATAAATAATGGGCACTTGTTCGAGGAGCATACAAATTCCACCACTTAAATCACTGGTATCTTTTATAAACAGATGGTTGTTGTTAAGTGCCATCAAATCGTTTCTGACCCATAACGACCCTGTACAGGCTTTCTGAGGCTGTAAATCTTTATGGAAGCATAAAGCTTCATCTTTCTCCAGCAGAGCAGCTGATAGTTTTGCACTGCTGACCTTAAGATTCGTAGCCCAATTCATAACCAGTACGCTACCAGAGCTCCTTTTTATAAACAAATAGAGGTCATGAATTAATCTTTAAGATCCCAGACACTACTCACTAAAGTAGGATGCAGAAAATTGTCTTTGTGAACTATGTTATGCCAATTGACCTGGGTGTCTGTCCCATGAGAGTATTGTCCTGAGATCCCAAGTCTATCAACTCATTGCCTTAAGATGTTTGAATATATCTGAGAAGTTTTCATCACTTTGTCCGCTGTATGCTCCATCACATTCATAAGTGTGTTTGCAGCAAAGGTAAATACCCTTGTACAAATATCCTCTTTCAAACATATATTTGTAGGTATACTCCCACTCTTCCTCCCATACCCATCCAGCCTGTGCATGTGTCCATGTATCTACCAATAGAACTCTGTTGTTCCAAGATTGTGTATGTAACACTATTTACCTCTATCCCCCCTTAACCCTTGCGCACCTCCCTGTGTCTTTACCTATTTTCTTCATTCTTCTGCCAACCTACCTCTTCTAGTATGTTGCCCTACACCTTCTTGTATAATACTCTGTCACCTAAGTTAACATGTGTTGCCCCTCTTCCCAAGGGAATTACTATCCCTTCCTTTCCACCCCTGGTAACCATCAAAGAATGATTGTCAGAGCTTCTTTTTTTGAGGTTTTATAATAGTGGTCTCATAATATTTGTCCTTTTGTGATTGACTAATTGTACTCAACATGTCCTCCAGTCTTACCCATGTTATAAGATGTTTTACAGATTCACTGTTACTCGTCAACGTTGCACAGTATTCCATTGTGTGCACGTATCAAAGCTTGTTTATCCATTCTTCCATTAATGAGCATGTAGGCTGTTTACATCTTTTACGATTGTGGACAGTGCTTTGATGAAAGTTAGTGTTCATGTATCTACTCATATCCTGGCTGTTATTGTAGATATTTATACCAAGTAGAGGGATTACTAGGTTATAAGGTATTTCTGTTTCCAACTTTCTGAAGAAGCACCATCATACCATTTTCTACAGTGGTAGAATAATTTTATAGTCCCAGCAGCAATGTAGGAGTGTTCCAGTCTCTCCACACCCTCACCAGAGTTGTTTTGTGTTTCTTAAAACTTTGCTGTTTATGCTGGAGTGAGATGATATCTCAATATTGTTTTAATTTGCATCTCTCTAATGGCTAATGGTGACATGCAAATCAAAACAATATTTCTCTAATGGCTAATGGTAATGGAGTCCTAGTGTGGCGCTGTGGGTTAATGCGTCAGACTGCAAAGCCATTTGAATTGCAAGGTTGGTGGTTCAAGCTCACTAGAATCTCCTCGGAAACCGTATACAGGGTCACTATGGGTCAGAATCGACTTGATAGCACTTGACAACAATGGCTAATGGTAGCATAGTGGTTACGAATCAGGCTGTTAACCTCAAGGTCGGCAGTTCAAAACTTCCAGCTGCTCCGTGGAAGAAAGATGAGGCTTTCTGCTCCAGTAAAGATTTGTAGCCTCAGAAACCCTGTGAGGGTCGCTATGAGCTAGAACTTAGCAACGGTACTTAACAACAACAACAATGGCTAATGATCGTGAACATTTCTTTATATATTTGTTGGCTTCCTGGAAGTCTTCCTTGGTGAAGTGTCTACTCATGTCCTGTGCCTGGTTTTTAATTTAATTCTTTGTCTTTTTCTTGTAGAGATGTTACAGTTTTCTCTAAATTTTTAAGGTATTAGGGCCTTGTCTGGTATGTTGCAAAAACTTTTTCCCGCAATCTGTGGGCTCTGTTTTTACTGTTTGGGAAAATCTTTTGATGTGCATAAGTGTTTAATTTTTAGTAGGTCCCAATCATCTATTTTGTTTTTGTGTTTTTAGGAATGTTTCACAGTTTGTTTTTGCCATGTATTAGAACCCCTAATTTGTCCCTATTTTTTCATTGACAGTCTTTATAGTTCTAGGTTTTACACTTAGGTCTTTAATCCATTTTGAGTGTTTTTGTATATAGTATTCAGTATAGGTTTTATTTTGTTTGTCTGCAAATGGATTTCCAGTTTTGCCAGCACCATTTGTTGAAGAAACTATCTCTTCCACTTTTAATGTGCCTGGGCTCTTTGTCAAAAATTACCTCACTTTGTGAAGATGGATTCACTTCTGGGTTCTCAGTTGTGTTCCACTGAGCTTTCATTGTAGTTTGACCACTCTGGCTGCGTAGTAGATTTTGAAATGGAGAAGTCTCCTACTTGTTTCTTCTTCTTAAGCAATGCTTTGCTTATCTGCGATCTCTTTCCTTTCCATATGAAGTTAGTGATTGTTTTTTTCATCTCTTTAAAAAATGATGTTGGAATCTGCAGTGGGCATGCATTATATCTATAGTTTGCTTTGGATAGTGTTGACATTTTCACTTATTAAGTCTTCCTGTCCATGAGCTTGGTTTATTCTTCCCTTTTTGTAAGTCTCCTTTGGTTTCTCGCAGTAGTGTTTTTGTATTTTTCTTTGTGTAGGTCTTTTGTTTCTCTGGTTAGATTTATCCCTATGTATTTAATCATTTGAGTGGTATTGTTTTCCTGATTTCCTTTTCAGAGCTGTCTTTAATAGTATGGAGGAATCCAACTGATACTTGCAAATTGATCCTGCCACTTTACTGAATCTCTCAATAAGTTCCAGTAATTTTCTTGCTGAGTCTTTGGGATTTTCTATGAATAGGAAATATCATCTGCAAATAAAGTTTTACTTCTTCTTTGCCAGATTGAATGCCTTCAGTTAACCTTCTTGCTTTATAGTTCTCACTAAGACTTCCAACACAATGTTGAATGGTGTTTCTGTCAAGTCTATTCCGACCCATAGCGACCCTGTATAGGGTTTCCAAGGATCAGCTGGTGAGTTTGAACCTCCAACCTTGAGTTCAAACGGCTTTGCAGTCTGGCACATTAACCCACAGCGCCACACCAGGACTCCTGTTGAATAGGAGTGGTGATAAAGGGCATTCTTGCTGGTTCATGTTCACAAAGGTAACACCATCAGTTTCTCTCCATTGAGAGTAATTCTGGCTGTTTGATTTGTATGTTGTTGTTGTTAAGTGCCATCAAGTCAATTCCGACCCATGGCGACCCTGTTTTAGGGTTTCCAAATAGCAGCCGGTGAGCTTGAACCACTGAACTTGAAAGTTCGAACAACTTTGCAGTCTAACGCATTAGCCCACAGTGCCACCACAGGAGGAATTTCCCTTCTATTTCTACTTTGTTGAGTGTTTTTATTAGGAATTGATGTTGCATTTTGTCATCATTCATCTGGTTCTTGTCATTTGTTTTATTTATGTGGTGAATTCTGTTGATTATATTTCTAATATTGAATCATCTGTATGTCCGTGGTATGAGTTCCATTTGATCATGATGTATTAATGTTA